TGTTCACTGTGTAAATGCTCTTGTTGCTTCAGTCTCTCTAACACTGTGGCATGTCCCCTTTCTTCTACACTCACTGCATCCTCCTTTTCTTTGTCCCTGACTGCATATCTGCACTTTGGCCTTTACCGGTTATGTGATTCGCATCAGTGGCCCACCCTTTTACCCTGCCCACGGAAAACCTGCTTCATCAGATTTTTTTGAGAAATGAAAGAGAGAGATGTGTTTTCTAGGCATGTGCATGGGAAAATTTTTCTGTTCGGTACAGCATTCCGAAATTCAGGACTTCTAAAGTAAAATAATGGGGGGGAACCTATTGCCCCCCGGCCCCCACCCCTGAGCGGCGGGTGGGGGCCCTAAAGTAAAATAATGGGGGGGACCTATTGTCCTCCCCACCCCTGAGTGGTGGGTTGGGGCCCTAAAGTAAAATAATGGGGGGGACCTAGTTTCCTCCCCTCGGGCCCCCACCCCTGAGCGGTGGGTGGGGGCCCTAAATACTAATATGGGGGTACCTAATGTTCTCCCCCCTGGCCCCCACCCCTGAGCGGTGGGTGGGGGCCCTAACTACTAATTATGGGGGGACCTAATTTCTTCCCCCCTAGCCCCCACCCCTCAGCAGTGGGTGGGGGCCCTAAAATACTAATTAGGGGGTCCTAATGTCCTTCCCCCTGGCCCCCACCCCTGAGCGGTGGGTGGGGGCCCTAAATTAGAATGAGGGGGAGGACCTAATGTCCTCCCCTCTGGCCCCCACCCCTGAGCGGTGGGTGGGGCCCTAAATACTAATTGGGGAGGACCTAATGTCCTGGCCCCCACCCCTGAGTGCTGGATGGGGGCCCTAAAATACTAATTGGGGGGGGAACCTAATGTCCTCCCCCCTGAGCGCTGGGTGGGGGCCCTAAATACTAATTACGGGGGGACCTAATGCCCTGGCCCCCACCCCTGAGCGGTGGGTGGGGGACCTAAATACTAATTAGGGGGGATCTAATGTCCTCCCCCCTGGCCCCCACCCCTGAGCGGTGGGTGGGGGCCCTAAATTAGAATGAGGGGGAGGACCTAATGTCCTACCCTCTGGCCCCCACCCCGAGCGGTGGGTGGGGCCCTAAATACTAATTGGGGAGGACCTAATGTCCTGGCCCCCACCCCTGAGCGCTTTGTGGGGGCCCTAAAATACTAATTAGGGTTGGGGACCTAATATCCTCCCCCCTGGGCTTGGTGGGGGCCCTAAAATACTAATTACGGGGGGACCTAATGTCCTCACCCCTTGCCCCTACCCCTGAGCGGTGGGTGGGGGACCTAATGTTCTTCCCCCTAGCCGCCACCCCTGAGCGGTGTGTGGGGGCCCTAAATACTAATTAGGGGGGGACCTAATGTCCTCCCCCCTGGCCCCCACCCCTGAGCGGTGGGTTGTCGGCCCTAAATACTAATATGTGGGGACCTAATGTCCTCACCCCTGGCCCCCACCCCTGAGCGGTGGGTGGGGGACCTAATGTTCTTCCCCCTAGCCGCCACCCCTGAGCGGTGTGTGGGGGCCCTAAATACTAATTAGGGGGGGACCTAATGTCCTCACCCCTGGCCCCCACCCCTGGCCCCCACCCCTGAGCGGTGGGTTGTCGGCCCTAAATACTAATATGTGGGGACCTAATGTCCTCACCCCTGGCCCCCACCCCTGAGCGGTGGGTTGTTGGCCCTAAATACTAATATGATGGTACCTAATGTCCTCCCCCCTTGCCCCCTCCCCTGTGCGGTGGGTGGGGGCCCTAAAATACTAATTAGGGGGGGACCTAATGTCCTCCCCCCTGAGCCCCACCCCTGAGCGGTGGGTGGGGCCCCTAAATACTAATTAGGGGGAACCTAATGTTCTCACCCCTGGCCCTGAGCGGTGGGTGGGGGCCATAAATACTAATTAGGGGGGGGACCTAATGTCCTCCCCACCCCTGAGCGGTGGGTGGAGGCCCTAAATACTAATTATGGGGGGACCTAATTTTTTCCCCCCTAGGCCCCACCCCTTAGCGGTGGGTGGGGGCCCTAAAATACTAATTAGGGGGTCCTAATGTCCTCCCCCCTGACCCCCACCCCTGAGCGGTGGGTGGGGGCCCTAAATTAGAATGAGGGGGAGGACCTAATGTCCTACCCTCTGGCCCCCACCCCTGAGCGGTGGGTGGGGCCCTAAATACTAATTGGGGAGGACCTAATGTCCTGGCCCCCACTCCTGAGCGCTTGGTGGGGGCCCTAAAATACTAATTAGGGTTGGGGACCTAATGTCCTCCCCCCTGGGCTTGGTGGGGGCCCTAAAATACTAATTAGGGTGGGGGCCCTAAATACTAATTACGGGGGGACCTAATGTCCTCCCCCCTGGCCCCCACCCCTGAGCGGTGGGTGGGGGCCCTAAATACTAATTACGGGGGGACCTAATGTTCTCCCCCTGACCCCCACCCCTGAGCGGTGGGTGGAGGCCCTAAATTAGAATGAGGGGGGAGGACCTAATGTCCTCCTCCCTGAGCGGTGGGTGGGGGCCCTAAATACTAATTAGGGGGGCCTAATGTTCTCCCCCCTGGCCCCCACCCCTGAGCGGTGGGTGGGGGCCCTAAATACTAATTATCGGGGGACCTAATGTCCTCCCCCCTGACCCCCACCCCTTAGCGGTGGGTGGGGGCCCTAAATAGTAATATGGGGGGACCTAATGTTCTCCCCCCTGGCCCCCACCCCTGAGCGGTGGGTGGGGGCCCTAAATAGTAATATGGTGGGACCTAATGTTCTCCCCCCTGGCCACCACCCCTGAGCGGTGTGTGGGGGCCCTAAATACTAATTAGGGGGGGACCTAATGTCCTGGCCCCCACCCCTGAGCGGTGGGTGGGGGCCCTAAAATACTAATTATGGTGGGTACCTAATGTCCTCCCCCAACGCTTAGGGGTGGGGGCCCTAAATAAAAAAAATAATCCCCCCTCCCCCGAGTGACTAGGGGTCCCCAAAGCCCTAGTCACCCCCTTTCCCAAAAAATTTACCCCCCTCGCCCTAAAATACCTACCCCCCTCACCCTAAAAATAATGAGGGGGGACCATTTAACTAAGTACCTGAAAAAAAAAAAAACTTACCATTTGATATTTTCTTTCTTCTAAAATCTTCTTTTTTCAGCCCCCAAAAAGGCCAAAAAAAATCCATAATAACCGACGCACTTAAAAAAAAAAAAGAGTGCTCAGGGATGGGGGCCAGGGGGGAGGACATTTGGGCCCCCGTAATTAGTATTTAGGGCCCCTACCCACCGCTCAGGGGTGAGGACCAGGGGGGAGGACATTAGGTAAGTATATTAGTACTTAGGCAATACTGTGCTTCAGAACTTTGGCAATTCGGCACTTCGGAAATTCTGTATTTTCAGGACCTCGGTAATTCGGCTTTCGGAAGTACCCGAATTGCCCGAAATTCATCCGAATTCATATTCGGACCGAAACGAATTGCACATGTCTAGTGTTTTCTTAATAGTTTAATCCTGTGAGTTTCCCTCCGCCTTGGAGGTATGACTATTTTAGTGTTTTCTGTTGATAAGATTCTGTAATTAGGCCCTTCGTAATATATATAATAACATATATATAGACAATACATTTTTAAACACAGATCTGCACACACCAGTCAAGCCTTAAGACTTCTGGATGGCTTCTGAATTCTGAATGGGCATATGCAAACTAAACAAAGAATCACTTTTTAAATATATATATATATTTATATATATATATATATATATTATTTATTTATTTTCTAACAATCTGTTATTGTTATTTCATGTACTGAATCTATGATGCAAATGAATTGTCACATTTGTTACACTTCTGCAGCAGAAAGCTTACCAGTTCTGTAAATTTATTGTAATCCGATTCACAAAGTGACAGGTTTATGTATTTGGAAAATGTTCATCTTGATGTTGTCAGCAGAACTGTACATGTATTGGGATTGGGAATTAACTGTGACATGAGGATATACAGCCTACATGACAAAGATCTTCTACTATTTCATTTTGTCTCTAGGATTATCTGTTAAATATGAATGAGCCTGGCAGCTGAAGAATATCTTTGTTGTATCTATTGTAGTTACTAATGATGTTATAGTCATACTAAATAGGGGCCAAGGCCTCAGGGTATACTTCAGCATGAAACTAATCTGAATATCTAGATTTATTTTCATTGCAATATGGCCGCAAGAAAACTATTTGAATTGGCAGCCTTATAGCATGCTTAGTTAGTTAGTTATGAACTCAAATACTTGTGCTATAAATAACTATTAATACTGTTTTGGTATAGGGGAATATGGGCAAAAATTGCAATAACCGATTTCTTTATATAAATAGATGTAATTTTACATATTTTTCTGTAGCAATAGCATTTTATTCCATAATTGAACCTCAAATTTCCCTTTCATTGTTAACAACGTGTTATAATTAAATCACTTTTAATATTATACTTTCTCTAGTAGATGTGTTTTGGTTTTGTTTTGCTTTGCTTTGGTCAAGTAGATTTAAGACTTTTTTCAGTATAGAACAGTTGTAGAAATGATCTGCAATAGTAGTAATATTAGCAGTGTATATTTAGGAATCATTCTAGCTTCAGTGACCGAATAATCTAAATTGTATTAAAGACAGGAGGCAAATATTTGCTTTACTTCCTTTACTGAATCCTCCCAACAGCAAAGAAACAGTTGAACAATTTGAACAAAATCAACCAATCAGAGGGTGGAGCCTGGCTGGGGAGCTGATCAGACGCGTGCAGCACGAGCTCCCGTCTGAAATCTTACTTTAATCGAAATAATCCTGGCTCTCATGCTACAAATTTTTTTTAAATTGCATCACCCAAGTAGAGGCTGCAAGGGAGAGCATAACGAGGTCACTCTTGAAACGCTAAGTCGACAGGAACGCGGGCTGCACTGATGGGGCCTACCGCAGCGACAACGAGCCTGATTAGCAGTCTGGACGGAGGAAAGGGCATGGGGAGGCCACCGATCACCCAGCCCGGAACTCCATGAAATCAGACACAAAAACTGTGCAGGACCACCCACGAGCCTTCCACCCCCCACCCACCCCAGCAGCGTTCCCACCACTGACATTCATGTCCCAAACATCACTAGTCCCTAACTCCAAAATGGCGGATGCCATGCGCCAGTCGCCAAGCATGGAGATATGTGGAAAATCGCTAAACGACACTCTGACTAAGCTGGATGCAATTCTTTCTGCCTTCTGGGCAAGGATTGCAGAGAGGGCACTGAACACGGCTAAAGCTACATGGACTATTCCTGCACCCACACCACAGGCACTCCCGGGCCCCAAGGGCAGACGCAAAATGATAGCCACCAGAGGCCTCCCAAAGAGGCACCGAAAACGGGACCGTCGGCACAAGCAGAAACTTAGAGCCTACCCCATAACAAGCACCCACCTGCACTGTAAGCCGCAACAACCCCACAGCAGACCAGTGGCACCATGTCCTCCAGGACAATGCCGATCATCTGACAGGGAACAGCTTCACCACCAGAACTCAGATACCTCCCGGGGCTCCCGGGGACTGCATCTGGCAACTGGAAGGGATCAGATGAGCACAGGCTGGAGATCGGAGCCTGTCAGGCATGTTTCGCTATAGCCGGACTTTCACATCATGCCTTCTATCATAAGAACTGATCTCTGAACGTTAGCTAAGCATAGAGTAACAGTTGTTCTTAAAATGTCTTTATTTTACCTCTCGCAGAGTTTACTGCTGTAGAGCCTTACTTGTGTCCACTCTAATAGCACATGCAATATTTTATTAGCCAGTCCCCACTAAAGGGGGAACTTAAGCTTGTAAAAATTAACAGTGAAACTGCTGGTATTTCCCTGTAATCAACAACGTGTACCCAACACTTTAAACATAAAAGCTGTCTTTTTTTACCAATGCAATGCTACACACTTAAAAGCCTCAGCGCAACTTGCCTTGTTATATACACATTTAGTCTAGCATGCTAATATATAAATCACTGATGTTTAAAGGGACACCGTAGGCACTGTATCTGCTTCATCTCATTAAACTGGTTATAGCGTCTGGAGTCCTCTGGTCCCATAATTTCTATCACCATTAATCCGTTTTTAAAGTTTTAATGCTAAACAAGAGTCCCGGGGAATCCATCCCCTCTGTGCTGCTTTGGCTAATAAGCAAGTATTAGCCTGAGCAGCAATGGGCAGCTGTGATTGGCTGAGAGTGTCAGCTGACTGCTTTTAGCCTGTCAGAGTTCCAACTGACGGTATGAATGGGTATGACAACAAGGAAGTGTGTAATTTCTGCCTTAGCTACACATACTGAAGGGGCCGGACTGTGGGTGGCCAGGGACTCTTATTGTGTGGCATACTGCACGAACATGGTTCAACACTGAATGGAGGGACAATGGCAGGGCACTCCAGGCACTATAACCAATTCAAAGAGATGAAATGCTTATAGTGACTACAGTTATCCTCATGTTATAAAAAAAAAAAAAAAAATGTGCCGTATCAACTGCCACATTTTGAACTGTTATGAAAAATGCCTGCAGATGCTATCGTGGCTATGCACGGTTGTTGTCACTTTTTGCACAAGAAAAGTAAAGAATTAAAAAAAAAAAAAATCAACCAACCAATCAGAACACATCTAGTCAGTAATATATGGCTGTGAGACTCCTCCCAACTACTCTTTCTTGATGCAGCCAAAAGCTTTATGTCAACTGTGTAAACCTGAAAAAGGAAATAGTCCTCAGAAGAAAAACATAGTCAGCCATGTAAATGAGATGTAACAGGTCCAATAGAGCAACAAATCAAGGATGCCGTCAAGAACATGAAGAGAAACTTCACACTAGAATGAAAAGAAAAGAAAATTTGTTAAAGTATGGTTTGATTGGTAGACTGTAAATCACACAACTGTACAGTACTATAACAAGCCATTTGTCAACAAACATGCAATGACATATATATATATATATATATATATATATGTAAATAAAATAAAACTATGAACAACTGAATTAGTCTAAACACATTACAAAAGAACCATGAAATAAGGTTATATGAGGCAAGTAAGGCAGAGGCAGCTCTCTAATTAGGCGATTTAGGCGGCAGGCCTAAGACCTCACGCTGCCTGGGGCGTGGCGGCCGCCTAAATCACCTTAGTACAGACTGACATGTCGGGCCCTCCGACACAGGCCCCAGGCCCCTCCTGTCAGTCTGCCCTGACGGAGAGCCAGCCTCCTGTCTGCAGCTCCACCGGGAGTGAGCTGCAGACTGAGTGGTCTCGCGACCTCCAGCCTGTCAGCCTGTCAGAGCGTTGTCGCAGCAACGCTCTGCCTGGAGATCGTGAAACTCACCATGTGGTCTGCAGCTCACACCCGGCGGAGCTGCAGACTGTGAAGAGAGAGGGCGCCTGCTGGACCACCAGGGAGATAAACAAAAAAGGTATTTGTGAACACCCTTTACCCACCCCCTGTTATTGCCCCTCTATCCCCCCCACACCCCCTGTCACTGCCCTTCTACCCCCCACACTCCCTGTCACTGCCCCTCTACCCCACCACCTGTCACTGCCCCTCTAACCCCCCACCCTCTGTCACTGCCCCTCCTGTCACTGCCCCCACCCCCTGTCACTGCCCCTCTACCACTTGTCACAGACCACACACCCACCCTGTCACAGCTCCCCTACCTCCTGTCATTGTCCATCTACCCTCCACCCCCTGTCACTGCCCCTCTACACCCCAACCCTGCCACTGCCGCTCTACACAGCCACCCCCTTGTTTCTACCCCCCACCCCCTGTCACTGCCTCTCCTCCTCCCCTGTCATTGCCGCCCACCCGTCCACTGCCTCTCTACCCTCACCCCTGTCACTGCCCCTACCCCTGTCACTGCTCCTCTACCCCCTGTTACTGCCCCTACATCCTGTCACTGCCCCTCTACCCCCTTTCACTGCTCCTCCACCCCCTGTCACTGCCCCTCTACTCCCTCTCACAGCCCCATACCCACCCTGCCACCCACACATCTTGTCACAGCTCCCCCACCCAGTCACAGTCCCCCCTACCTTGTCATAGTCCCTCCACCCTCTCACAGCCCCCCCACCATCTGCTCCTCCAATCTGTCACAGCTCCCCTTACTGGCTGTGGGAAAGCAGCCCTCCCACTCTGTCACCCCTCCACACACCTCCTGTAAAAGCTCCCATCCACACACCCTATCATCCACATGCACAAGCACTGTCACAGCCCCCCCCCCCCCCACCCACACCTTATCATCCCCATACACAAACTGTCACGGCCCCCTCCACACTCCATGTCACCCCCACCCACAACCTATCATCCCCACGCACACACTGTCACCCCATACACATACGCTATCACCATTCCCAAACACTTTCAGCCCCCACACACTGTCACCCCCTTCACCTAGCCACACTCACATTAAACCCTCGTAATACAAACTCACCTGCCCTTGCTTTGCCATACTTACCCTATCATATTAACCCCCCCAAATCCTGTCTGACTTAATCTTGTCACACTCACCTCCCCTGATTATGTTACACTGCCTCCTCCAAACATGGCACATTCACCCCAACCCTGTGATACTAACTATGCCACACACAGCCTATCACATTAACCTCCTCCAACCATACCACAGTCGCCCCTATCAGTCTCACCCTCCCTCATTCTGTCACACTCACCCCCCTAACCCTGTCACACTCACCCTGCCACAGTTACCACTTTACTCACCTTGTCACAGTCACAAATTGAAGACATTCATCATACATAGATACACAAAGGTCACAGGCAGCAATCAAGTCGGAGGACGCAGATGAGCCCCACACTGAATTCGCCCCACACTAAAGAAGCCTCAAAGCCCGCATGCCATCGGATCCAACAAGCAATTGTGAGACACGACACAGGGTTATGAGGACTAATATAGGATACAAACAGAGGTTCCGAATGAGCCCGAAGAGGAGAGGTAAGGGTGATATATTTTTGTAAACAACTAGTGAAACAAAGAGAAGGTCTATCTGGAAAGTATGGCTAAAAAACGGAAATAGAAGGAACCTTTGTGCAGCGAACAATAGAGAAACGTACACAGGAGTGAATGCAATAGCGTGGAAATCAAAAGCCATGATGTCGGAAAACTAGACTAAACAAAACCAAACAAAGCAACAGGGCTAGTTTGGAGAGTTGACGCAAGGAAAGTTCCAAATTAGGAGGCCATGCTTCCAGGAAAGACAAAACCGAGAAACATCACAAATTTGGGTGTATCGAGGGGCTGTGGGTCAAGAAAGACAAATACCCCATAACAACCTGCAAACAGATGGATGTTTTCCAAATGGAAACACATCAACGGGATATGAGCTGCTGAAATAGCAGAGCTTAAAATGTTTATTGTACGCTAAGACTAACCACTGTCAAAAAGAGACGATAGGAAGTTCATAATATTCACCAAAGTAGTTGAAAACGGATCAATATCCCTTTCCAAACACCAGCAAACCCAGAAACGCCATGCAGAAAACGTATGATCTACCAGTTCCTGGGGCCCATGAGCACCAGAGAAGACTTCAAGAAGAGCACGAAAGTCCTGAGACATACCAGGATCCCCTGAAACTCTCCAGGCCATGAGTCGAATACGACCCTGGGTGACAAGAGGATGGGAGTCCCCTGAAGGATCTCGGAGGAGATCTTGAGACAATGAAGGAAGCAGAAGGCAATCTGCGGACATTTCTAGGAGGTTGGGATACCAAGGCTAGGCCCTTCAGAGGAGAGCAATTAAGAGGATCTTGACTCCAAGAACCCTGAGACAATGAAGTTTGAGGGATCATTGAAAAACGTGGAAAAGGATAAGCTCCTGTCAAAGCAGAAGCAAATTATAGAAGATATTCGAGTCTAGATGCCAATCGCTGTCATCTCTCCAGTGAAGGGAGAACCAGTCTGCCACGAGATTGTCCGGACCTGGCTGATATTCTGCTCGAAGAGAGAGATTTCTTTCCAGTCAGAACTGGTAGAGTTTTCTCGTAAGATCCGACAGGAGTTTTGATCGAGAACCCCCCAGACGATTGTCCATCATGAAAAGCCAGAGAACAGTTGTAGGCATTCTTGGCGAAACTGCAAATCGCAAAGGAGCCTTCCATCAGTTTAAGGCAATTGATATGCATTGAGCATTCATAGTGTGTCCAGAGGTTAGTATCTGACTCCTGGTTAAAATCGGGTTGGCACACAAATAGAGCTTTCGCATTCCAAGCCTCTATGTTCTGAAACCCACCAGTCTAACTCAAGACGGACTTCGTCGGTAAGAATAATTGGTTGGACTTGTGGCGGTATACCCTCCTGAAGATGGGTTACTACTCCCTAGGTCTCTCCTTCCAGTTGTGATCAGCTCCAGAGTGATTATAGCTTCTTGCACAGGTTACCCCGGTTTCACCCAAACACAAGTCGAGACTTAGTGAAGGGTGAAGAAGATTGGTTTTATTATGGCCAAATGGCCCACTTATATACACAGCAAGGGTACAGTCAACCACACTCAGAACACTCCCACAACATGCCCATGAATCTCTTGTGTCAGCATGACTAAGCATAAAAATATAAATGGAATTTCTTGTGTCAGCATGATTAAGCATAAAAATATAAACTGAATTTCCACATATAAACCATATAGGAACCATCCCCAGAAAGATCTTCCTGGAGCGCCCATTGTGTCCGAAAAGCACCGGGATCGGATATTGCTTGCCCAAATTAGGTGGAATGTCAAAGTTAGGCTCCATAGCCAAATCCACCAAGTTGGTAGCAATCCTCAGCAGTACAGGAGAGCAGACAAAATATATAACACTAAATATTTTACACACGCCCTGCACCTATAATGGGCACAGGGTGACTAAAACATAAGAATAGTTCAGGGACCTACGTAAATAGTCTTTCTGAAGTTCCTGG